TTTCAGCATTCCTCAGGCTTCACCCTGTGTGCCTGCTGCAGCCTTCACGAAAGGATTTTATTGTAAAGCAGCAATGCAGTGATTCCATAGCCTCTGAGACATATTCAGGTTTTTTGCTAGCAAATAAACATACAAACATAATAAACATTCTTTATGAATCCTCATCCTTTCCTTAGGAGGATGAATTTCTAGCCTGTTTTCTATGAATCTGAAATGCAAAATTTCCACAAGTGCAAATGCTCCACTTTTTTTCTGCCTTCTTGGGCACAGGGGACAATCCTGTCTTGTTTTTGTCCCTAAAAGTATTGACTGTATTAGACACTGGGCACGTGCTTTTGAAAGAAAAGCACCATGAATGCTTGCATGTCCCTGTATTATCAGCCACGTGCTCCGTCCCTGGGAGACAAACGGGCCACTGAAATGCGGCTGGCCTGGACGTCCCACATACCAAGCAGATGCAAGCAGAATGCCATAGGGAAATAAGAAACACATTGTATGTGATTTAAAAGGCTTACAGCTATGGGATATCCCTCTGAAAGTCTAATGAACATCTCCAGCACATAGACAATCAAAGTGCAAAACGCACCCTGCATCAGGATACAAAACCATGGTCTCAGAAGAGACCCACAAAATAAATCTACTGACAGCAGCACCTATAAATCATGCAACTCCAGCACTTGGGTTGTCAAAATGTCTCCAAGCTCAGAATTTTCTGTGGAGAGGAGGCTGTCCACACAGATTCTTTTTAAATTTTATGCCTTCTGTTTGCCTCTAGAGTGAGCTTGTGTCCTGGGTTTGGGATTTGTGTTTGTTTTGCTTTCTTTCTCTCCTAATATGACCCAGACTGACTTTGACGAAGTTAGTGGTTAGAAATTCAGATTTCTTACCACAAGGCTGGGAAAAAAATAAATACAAACACTTGTTCAAGTGACTGAAAATACAGGCATTTTTTAACCTGATGACTGTTGGGGTGATTGGATCAATGTTTGGATATAGTGGGGAGAATATCTAGGAAAAAGGAAGGGGGAAAAGGGTAAATCTCTCAGGATTAATCTTCTGGGGGTACTTTGCACAGACATCCCTACTTATGACACCTATGAGCTCCTGGAAGTAGATTTGCAGAGTTTCCACCAAAAGCTAAGCTGGCAAAGGAGCAAGCAGTTAACAAGATAATTTCATCCCTCATTCTCAAAGGGAAACAGCTCTGAAACAATTCCTTCTAGAAATGTGTTAATTCCCAAGTAAAGGGATAGCTGGTGTTAAACCTGTATTGTGAGGTGAGAAGCAGCATTAAGCAGGCCAGGCTCAGTGGCTTTCTATCCACAAGACTAATTGTAACAAGAGCTTAGAACTGTCTATTCTGCAGTTTGAGCCCAAATAGCCTTGATTGTGTTGTTCCTGCTTATCCCTGTGTCCCATGCCTTGCACAGAAGGGCTCTGACACACCTTAAGGAGCAGAAACTATTCCAATTCTGCTCCTCCATAGACTGATGAATGTTTGTAAGACTTTGGAGCATGCACAGCATAACATTTTTGTACGCAAATTCTGGAGGGTGTCTCAACTCTGGGGACAAAACTCTGGGAAAACACCATAAAAACAGCAACACCAACATTCCTCAGATGCTGCATGGAGAGATGATCAAGGCTGCCAGGAGCAAATGATGCACTTTCACACAAAAAAGAGGAAGAGTGGTGACAGATACTGACAGGGACTAGGCTGAGACTCGGGAGACCAGGCTGAGAGATTCAGCACTAACTCCTGGTCCACCACTGAACTGCTGCAGAACATGGGAAACTCAATTTGCTTCTGTTTTCTTGCCGATTCATAGTGTAAACTCCTGAGGGTGATGACTGTCCCTTGCTGTACTACTGCAGTTGAAACAGTAACATGTAAATAACTTAGACAAACCAACCAAATCAGCTGGTGGAAGGGTGCAGATGGGCATGTAAAGAGATATGAGTGAAAGAATGTGAAGGAGCAGAGAAGACAGGGGGAAAGAATGGCCTGAAATGAAAAATTAAAAAGTGAGGAAAGGGAGTTAACAAATAGCAGAAGAGCACAGACAGAACACAGTCATTCCAAAATCAGCTGATGCCTGCTCTTTCCCACTGTCCAGAGGGAGATTTCAAAGTGGTTTAAACACAGAAGTGAGCAGGGAAACCATCCTGCCCTTCACCAGCCCTCTGCTAATCCCAGTTCCCCATTCATGAACTCCTAAAAAACCTTCAGTAATCTGAACCTGTAAAACGATTGGTTTAAGGTAGAACCTCTCCTTAAGGACCCAGCACAGCCATCTCCCCAGCACACCACTGCCAGCATTTATTAGTCCTCCAGGGGTCATCTTTTACCTGTGCTAATATAATTCTGCTAAAACCTTCTGGCTGTCTGGGGCCTGGCTGTCTTCAGCAGCACACCAGTGTGAAATATTTATGGATTAAAATACAATTAAAATGCAATTTTCAGGCATTTTGAGAGGAAGTCTTGAGCTCTACTTATGGCTAAGTGATAGACTCTATAAGGTTGCGAGTAACAGCTGAGAGGCTCAGAATACTGTGATAGAAGGTGAAGTCCATGGAGAGGCCCAAGCTAATGCATTTTCAAGTCAGTGGAAATATTTCTCTGTTTCTCTGAATGTTGAATTGGTCTGCAAGGGACTGGATGAGATCCAGTTGAGGCCCATAGCTACCAGAAGTTGCTACCAACCAATGACTGCTCAGAGGGTCACATTAAGCAAAAAGATAGCTGCAGTAAGATGTTTAGTGACCAATGGCTGCAGACACAAAATATTTTTCATTCTTCACAGTGATCTGAGGTCAGAAGACCAGGGAAGAAAAGGCATAAAGGCAATAATAATGAATTTATCAGTCCACACCTACTCCCACCAAGGGATCTGGAGGAACAGTGAGATTTCCCATTCTATTTCCCAAAAGATCCAGGGAGCTGCAGGCTGGAGTCGCTGTGCTGATCAGGCTGACTCCCTTTACCAGCAGTGAACTGCTGCTTTAAAATAAAAATCCAAGAATGGACCTATAACTAGGACACTGCCAAACATAACTGAGATTTCTTAGAATCTGCTCTCACTGTGAGTTTTGTGTAAAATGTTTCCCAAGATCTCCTTGTGTGGCTGTTAGATATTGCAGTTGATGTGCTGTGAAAGATTTTAAATGGCAAGTCAGAGTGTTTCCTGAGAACTTTCTGTTATGGACAGCTCTTAAGTTAAACTGGGAAAACAGAACAACAACAAAAAGCAATAATGAGGCTATAAAGGAATGGGGAATATTCCCAGTTTCCCCCTTCACTGATAATTAGTCAGAAACACAGACTTTAGGTTCAGCCTGAAGGAAGACACTGGAATAAAAATTGCAAAGGATCAAAGGGATTCTTCAGCCATTTTAAATCTTTAGTGAGAAAGCTAAACTAAACACTGCAATGCATTTTCAGAATAAATTGTCTAGAGAAATAATGGAACTTTTAATTTTAGGGATTTCTCAGCAAAGACCAGGCTAATGCTTGCTAGGAACAATTTAGGTGGTGCTGATGCTATGGTGGAGCAGGAGAATAGACCAGGAGACCTCTTCAGGTCTCCTGTAAATTTATCTTCTTAGATTCTGTGCCTACAAACAGGAGTGTTTGCCAAGAACATGCTAAACTTGGGAAGGTGTGCAGTAATGTTTTAAATCCATTTATATACAAACTAAAGTTTAAGAAAATATACATATGAGATGAAGAACTGCAAATGAAAGATGACAGAGAAATAACACACAGGCATTTGAAATGTGGGCCGAAAATAAAACAGGATTCAGCCTGGAAAATGCATGCTAACATACTTGGGGAAATATAATCCTAAATAATATCCTCAGTGGGAAAGCAAAACCTGGAAATAATTTATTTTACAAAGGAATCTTTGGGCTGATTGAGGACAGTGAATCAGATAGATGCGTTTTAAGCACCACCATAACAGCTGGAGCTCAGCTGGAACTTCCAAATTCAGATTTGCTGCTGCTGCAACCTGACACACACAAATAAATCCCCCAGCACTCACAGTAAGAGTCTACCAGCTGATTTATAGTTTGATTGAAAATGTGAGTCTCAGAAGCTTCAGCTGGAGACCATCAGCTGTGCCTGGAGATAGGGCCTGATGAAAATCAGGTTGAACACTGTTTCCAACAGAGCAAGGAAGCAGGCACCTTCCCATCCCTCCCCAGTTTACATGTAGTAAGGCAGTTTGAGGAAGATCTTGACTCCCTGACATTAGTAAAGATTAAAATTCCTCTTGTTGGCTTCTAGGGACAAAGAATTGTACCAATACTGGATATTCAAAATTTTTGAGAGTAGTTGGAAGAAAATACTAGGCAAGTAAGTAGAAAAGAATTCAAGTGATGAGGTAAATCACAGAAAACAGAATGAAGCAAAAAAACCCCACCACATACACAGATATTGACAATAAGTCCTGCAAATTATTAGGCATAGTAACTTTTACCTGCCTTGGCTACTAATTCTCTTCCCTACCTTTCTGTTCACAAAGAAATCAAAATCCATTGAGGAAAATTCCTTCACCACCTGATAAGAGCAATCAATTCCAAGGCCCTTGCAAGGGACCTTAAAATGTAGTTAGACAGAGATGACAGAAACCCTACACCTCACCTGCTATATGGGTGGCAGCACTTTTTACCCAGTTACAGAGAAAAATAGTCTAATTTCAGAGACTTATTTCCACAGACTCCAGGAGCAATAATTTTGGTGTCAATGTTTTCTTTAACACAGTTTTCCATTCTGTCAGTGGCACACTCAGCAGCTCCTGCCATAAGCACAAGTCCAAGCAGCTGATGGCAGCGAAGGGAAAGTCTGTGCTGCATGGGAGATCTCTGGACTCCCACAGTGAATTTGCACATTTTAGTGCAGGAGTTCAATGTCCATTACCAGATATTAAAATAAGCTTGGTTCCCTCTGCCTCCAATACTCACTTTGTGGTTGCTGTGTTCTTTCCTAACCATTCCAGCTGGATGGTCCCATGGACTCCTGACTGCTCTTACCTCTCCACGTGGCAGGAAACAGAAGGTGATGTTTCCAAAGGAAGTGACCCACCTTGGAAGTCTATCTCCTGGTTCTGGTGAGATTTAGCCATGGAGTTAAGCAATCCTTCCCCTTCTTCCTCCTCTTGATACTGTTTCTCTATCCAAACCAAGCTTTAATTAGCTCACTTAGGACTTTGTAACCTTAATGTTTGTCTCCTGGCTGTGCAAATCTTCATAAAACAGCAAAGATGAATGCCCAGGATCAGCTACAAAGTACACAGATATAAATCTTGATGAAGAGGAACAATTACTTACTGGTATTTACTTCACCTCTGTTATTTTACTTATGCTCTCTAGTACATTTCTAAATAAATGCCCTTCTTGCTTTAATATTTAAAGATCTCTTGCGCAAGCAGAGAGCATTTTATATGTCTGTTCATATGAAATCTTGTAGTCTGTAGTTATGTTTCTTCATTCAAAAAAATCACATTCTGTAGACCTCTATCAAGTCTTCTAAATTCATTGCTTCAGTATTTCTGGTAAAGTAGTTTCTTGCACTAGATTTGCTGTTCAAGGAGCAATCTTTTTGATTCTATGAGTCCATGAGTTGGGTATTTGGAACACATAGCAAATTAGCAACAAGGGTGAAAATGTTTATGAGCAACTCATAATATTTATAGTGTAAATATTTCTTTGTTACATGGCACTGCTCTTAGAATGTTTCAGAAACATTTCTGAATGTAAACATCTTAATTAATGCAATAAATGTTAAAAGCAAATATATTTATTACCTTCAAAATTAGACCCAGTGAATTTTTGGGGATACACCATATAAAATAAATAGAAAAATAAAATAATTGTGCTGAGCTAAAATGATGGATTTTGCTTTATTCCTGTTAGTTAGGGTGGATATTAGGAAAAGGGCACTGGAACAGGCTTCCCAATGAAATGGTCACAGCCACAAGGCCAGGAGAGGTCAAGGAGTGTTTGGACAATGCTCTCAGGCACAGAGTGGGGTTGCTGGAGTGTCTGTGCACGGCCAGGTGTAGGATTTGATAGTCCTGACAGGTCTCTTCCAACTCTAAGATTCTTCGCAGGATTATTCAGATAACCCAGTATGTTCCCTAGTGGAGTTTTGCCAGTATTTTGGTTTGTTTCATCAACAACTGGATTTCCAGACCTTCTACTTTACAAAGGAAAAAAACCTCTTCTATTTTTATTAACTTCCACATTAGCATTAATGCAGCACTGGACATGTCATTTTTGGGCTTCTGCCTTTCAAGTTCTGATTTGCATGAATCTGGTTCTTCAGCGCTTTTTTTTTTTTTTTTTTTTTTTTTTTTTTTTTTTTTTTTTTTTTTTTTTTTTTTTTTTTTTTTTTTTTTTTTTTTTTTTTTTTGTGGATATTGACATCTTTTGAAAAATGTTTGGAAAGTGCTATCATGGGACCCCTGATAATATAACCCAAAGGCAGTGGGACCTGCTTTGCCAGCATTGCCACTTTCTGTTACTTCCTTGCTGGTATTATATTGCTAGATTAGTTGACAATATATGGGCAATAATGCAGTCACAATTAAGTCCACTAATCTAGTAACAATATGGCTACATCCCAAATTTCTGAACTCCAGGGCACGTTCTTTGGTGATCTTTTTTCAGTTCCCTTCTTGCTTGTGATTTTGAATACAGGATGTATTGCTGTTGATGTTCAAACCCTTGATTAATAATGTAGTTACCACTGCATCTGCACAGCTAATTTTTTTCTTTTGGCAACATTTCAGTCCTTATTGCTGCGGACCTCAGTTCTCAGCCTTTGCATCAGGTCTTGAACCTGTTTTCACAGAGACATCTGTTAGGTGTTATCTCCTTCAGGTTTTTACTCTATTGATGAAAGTGATGCATCACTGCTTGTACAGTTTCTGCAGCCTTACAATTACCTGGGGGGAACCGAGTTTGCTTTGCTGAAGAAACAAAATCTGAATTACTCAAGAGCTTGTCTGCAATGTCACATAAGCTTTTCATACAGGAGTCTGCAAAGTCTGAAACCACAGCCCTAGTAATGAGTTTTCAGCACAATACAAACTTTAATTGAGTCTTTCCTGACCTCATGTTCTTCTATGAGACCACTGTGGGTGAAACCTCATTACTTGCATAAATTAGTATCTCTTTGCTTAAACTATTTGCAAAATTTGTCTTAGCCAAACCATATTTGTAGTGGCATTTTTCCTTCTCTTGTAGAAAAGTTCATTTCTATTGACAGATTGGTTTATTGCTTTACAAAAATGTCTTTTTGGAAGGTGGAGTCTCTTCATATTTAGTCTCTTTTATATTGACACAAGTAACATTTGCTGATGGACTATTTTTATCTTTATTTGTACCCTTTCCAAGGGATTTATGACCAGGCTTTCCAAAAACAACAAAACATGGGTCAAGGCCATCTGACTTTTCATTAGTCTCTGTATGTGCCATTGCAATGACAAGGTTACAGTCTTTTGGGATAAAAGGAAACCTCTTCTACGTCTCAGTTGCATTTAAGTAGTGGCCTCATTCTCTGTGTCTTTTGGCTCCTTTGGATTTGGAGTGGTTTCTGTGTTCAAGTGAAATTCTGGTGGCATCCACACTTAATATGTTCACCACAGACACCAAATCCTCCTGGTGATCTGCTGCATTGTTGGAAACTCTGCCCCTCAGCAGATGGTTGTCCTGAATTTCCATCACCCATATGCTTTTCAATGCTGAATGAACACTTTCCAGGGTGTTTTTGAAAGCAGCTCAAGAATTGGAGTGGATCAGATTCCTGAATCAGCCTCAGGAAAAAATAAAATGGAAATGCATAATTATTCCTTACCCACATCTCTGTCTCTTGGCACAAAGGCTCTTTCCATGTTAAAAACTTCTGTGTGAGTACCAGGTGAAATTCTGTTTGGTCTTGCATCAGTGAGATATTCATCTCAGAGAGACGCTGTCAGTGATAGCAATTAGCCCCATCAGTGGCAGAAATTACTTGATTACGAATATGAATGAAGATTAGCAGTGTTCATCATCATGTCGCTAAAGTTCACCTTATTTTTTCCTGTTTTCCTGATGTTACTTCATAAGTGATGGTTACTGCTACTTGATAGGCTCTGTCAAGGAGCAGTATTCCAGGAATCCAGCAGGGAGCAGGAGAGGATCATTTTGCATCCACCAGCTCTTGGTGAAACCCTAACAGTGAAGGTCAAGGAAAATGATTCATTCGTTATTGGGTTTGGAATGAAAGGTGCTATTCCATAGGGGAATATTCACCTGCTAAAATTCTGTTGGATAAAGGAAAAGAGGGAGGAAGCACCTGGGGAAAGAACAGGTGGATTTTTGGTGGATACAGGGGAAGACATGGGAAGGGGCTCATAGGTACACATCATGAGTACCACCAGGAAAAGTCCATTTTTCCAAGCTCTGACATTCTAGAAGGGTAACCAGTGATTAGCACATCCATTTCTATATTCCTTGAATGCCAAGTGCTTTGGTTGGGAAGAGATAATATTTGGAAGTGAACAAATCCAGGGATGTAATTCCTGATAGTAAAGCCCTGGGGACCCAGGTTTTGATATTCCAGCAAACAACCCAACAGAGGGAATCCTGGAGGAGATAGAAAACACTGTCACTCCATTGGTGGAATTCCTGGGAAATGGAAAGCAGCAGAAGCAGGAAGAGCAGAGCTGGAACCAGACTCCAGCTGGGTAAGGCAGACACAAAATCCTTTGGAATTAGAACTGGGCACGGGTGAGAAGAACTAATTGTTACATTTGTACCCCATGGATTCCTGAGCAGGATCCCAGCAGGAAAACTCCATGGGAAGATCCAGACTGGGGACTGTTCCCAGATGGGAAGAGTGAGCCTTGGAATTGTCTGAAGGACAGCACAAGGATTAGCTGTCAAATGTAGAGATGTTATCAGGCAATTACTCAGGAGTGTTTAGTTCCCAAGGCAAGTCCATCCTCTGTCTTTTGAAGTTCAGAAATCTGAGAAGACTCTAAGTAATGTAGGAAAATGACTGGCAGATAAAAATTCTGGGGAATTGTAGGGAAAATCATCTTATTAGGGACTCATTTTGTATAGGAATTGTGCAAAAATTATCCAAAAGGACGGGAATCAAATTGGATTGACATATTCCTTGGAGATCACAATCCAGTGGGAAAGCTGAGAGAGGGAAACAAAGCCTAAAAAGGCAAATGAGCCAAATCTGCCAAAACCCTCAAATGGCTACATTCTCTGGCATTGCTGAGGAATTCAGGCAAGCTCCAAGAAAAAGGTGAGCCCATAATGGAATCCTTTATGGGAGACCATATCCAGCTATGACCCTTTCTGGGGAAAGCCATGGGATAGGTTATTCCAGTTTCACAGAATATGTCATTTCCTTGGGGAAAACACTTTACATAACTTTATTGTTTAGCCTAACCAGTAACCTGGGATATCCAAGTCCATCCTCCCTAGTGGGGAGACTGGGAGCACGTCCAGACATGGAGAATTTCTGGGAGAGCCGCAGAGAAGAAAGAGGGCTCCAGCTTTGTAGGTCTGTGTCATAACCCATCCTGTCAGCCACTCCTGCTTGATCCCAGTGGATTTGTCCTCTTGTATTCAACCTCAGCAACACTAATTGCTGGGAATTAAGCAGCCTTTGGTACTTCTTTTCCATAAAACCTCTCCATCCTGCCCTTCAATCCTGTTGTGCACAGAGGAAAAATCCAACACTTCATTTTTTCCCTTCTCCCCTTCACTTTGCTTCCTCTTTTCCTGCAGGCTTTGGGCTATCCAGTCTTGGATGTGGATTAGGCAGAGCACCTTGGAAACTCAGCTGAAGGTGGGATTGGAGCAGTGTTAGAACCATCATGGGTTCTCCCAAGGTTTGGTGTGAGGAGATACATCTTGGAAGGGGCTGGGATTTTGTGCTGTTCTGGGTTTGTGTTTTT